GGTAGCTATCACTACCTTCAATTTGTAACCCCCTCACACGAACCATCAATACAAAAACAAAGCAGGAGTAGGGTATTATCTTGACCATGAGGGTCCGAACCTGGTTAAAACTCCGTCTGTGATCCCCTCGGGTACATTCGGTCACGTTCTCCACCCTGCCGAGGACACTGACATTTTTTGGTATCATCAATTAGCGTGCAATATTAGTCCTACTAATTTGTTGTCATCAATACAAAAAAACCGTGTGTGATCCCCTCTGGTACATTTGGTCACGTTCTCCACCCTACCGAGGACACTAACGGTTTTTGGTATCGTCAATTAGCATGCAATATTAGTCCCACTAATTTGTCGTCATCAATACAAAATCAACAATTAAAGGGCACAATGTACTTTCACAAACTTTATTGAGCAGTTGTCCATATATTAGCCCACCCCCTGAATTACATGGATAGTTGTGCGACAATATTATTTGTTACTTTTCCCAACATCGCAAGTGTAGTATTTCCTCATGCTCCAAATTTTTTATCCAAACCCAACATCCACTCATGCCATTGATATGATAACAACTAGGCTTTTAAAAGAAACCCTTCATCTCATCCTTGAACTCATTGAGATACTTCTCCTCCACACACTGGGTCATAACTCGTGTGCCCTTCTTGGGCATTGGCGGAGCACCAAGCACCACGACCGCCATGTAATCTGCATAGGTAAATGGTAAGATATGGCTAGGAGTGCCCCACCCGTAGTCGACCTCAAAGAATCCAAGCCTCGTCCAATCCGACACAAATAGCACATTGTGCTCGAACGCCAACTGGTATGGATCAATCTTCACATCCCCTGACGCCCACTTGGCAAACTCCAAAGGGAGCCTTGCCTTCCCGTCCCTAATCATCCTGATCACACCAAGCAGCCCCATCATGGCAACATCCTTCGCCATAGATGTCACGGTAACCGGGTAGAAGCAGTTGCCGTAGAAGCCCCCATCCTTTGGGAGAACTTGTGTGAGAAGGTGTCTGGTGTTTGCGAAGAAGCATATTTTGACCTCGGATTCTGGACTGTACTTGATGGCCCGAGTTCGAGCTTGCCAAACCATTGCAATGGCGACATCAAAAGTTGAGCAATACTGACCCATTGCTTGGAAGTATTCGACCTTGACATGGGCGATACACTCTGAGCTAACATCTGTGGCGAAATGCTGGAAGCCGAAGGACTGGAACGATGGCGGTGGCCCTGGAGGTAACTTGGGTGGGCTTGGGATTACAGCCTGAGCCCATGCAGGAGCCACCGTAGGCTTGTCCAGACCGCGGGCTAACTCAGCAATTGTGTTGATGAATTGTGCTGCGCCAAGCCCGTCTGTGAGGGTGTGGACCGCTACCAAGCCCACAACAAATCCTCCACAAGTGAATTCGGTCACCTGGCATGGACAGAGTTAGAACGAGAAAGGTAATGCAATATCAGTCTTGAAACATCAGTTAAAATGACAAGGAAAAAGTTTGCAATATAGAGTCCTGAAACCATGACATTCGATATTGTTATTCAGATGAAGTGGTTGTATGGAATTTGAGTCAGTGAAGAGACAAATACAGTCAGGCTGTAGTAGTAGACTACCTAAACCATTGTGACGTGTCGGTGCTGCCGGCACTTTCTATCTTCCACTACCAACAACGCGATGTATCCTAAAAAAGAGGGGGATGTGGTACAGTTCCACCTAGTTAGTGTATCATACATATGTGTTACAGTTCAACCACTCTGATACGTAGTCTTGGTTCATTTTGGAGCTACTCTCTCTGGTCGCAAAAAAGGGTCTTGACCTACACTAGTCCGAGAAATGAATCCATTAGAAATACTGTCTTGAAACAACATCTATATTGCGAAAAAATAGGAAACAACATGTGGTTTCTTGAGGTCAACATATTCTTTCTTCCTGACTTCATGACTTCAGACGCCCTGAACTAATTCATGGCGATGGTTTCTCGATGTGGTGGGTTGCTCTCTCTCCCTGCTTAAAATGTCCATGCCCCTGTTTTTAAGCTTAAAACGTTTACTAATACGGACGAGCATGCTTAAGAATAAACGGGCGGAAATTGGCAGCCTGATCTAAATATACTATACCCGATCGGACTATGTATAAATATATGTTGTTGGTGACTTGAATAAGTTGATGCTCGCTTACTGCCTTTGATAATCGCACACAAGAAAATGCGAAAATGAATGAAAGATGCGGACTGCAGATGCCTAAACATTTTCTGCAAGGAGCCTCGAACTCATGTACTTCCTTTGTTTGTTTTTATAAGACGTTTTAGATAGTTTTTTTACTCCTTTTGTCCAAAAAAACTTGTCTCAAATTTGTCTCTCAAATGAATGTATCTAGTATATTTCAAATGAATGTATCTAACACTAACTTTATGCTAGATGTATTCATTTGAGAGACAAGCTTTTTCGAATGAAGGGAATACTGTTTTAAACAGTCTAAAACGTCTCATAAAAATGAACAGAGGCACTTAAATTAAAACCACGACGAGTAATTTAAAACTGAGGAAGCAGTAACGAAAATATGATGTAACCGTACGTATATACCTGCATCATGACCGGAATAGTGGTAGGGTCAACGCCTTCCTCCGGAGCGGGCAGCAGCTCCTCCTCGCAGACCACGAGAGGGTAGTCCAGGCCGTTCACGTCCTCCAGGCTGCAGTCGGCGGCGGCCTCAACGAACCAAGCGCCGTCGCCGGTGCACGCAACGCAGGCCTCGCCAGCCGCCGCCGATCCCACGAAGCGGCCGGCGAACGCGGGGTACTCCACCAGCGCGCGCGACAGCGCGGCGCGGATCACCTCGGCCGGCCTGGCGCTGTCGGCGCCGTTGCGCCGGAACACGTGCAGTGACCGCACGGTGTGGCGCAGCCCGGGCACGCGGTCGATGGCGGACAGCTCCAGCGTCTCTCCCGACGCCGGCGCGGCCGGCACGACGAACGACTGGGATTTCCTTGCCAGGGTGACTGACGACACCATGGTGGCCACGTGCCCAGTGTCAGTGTGCGATGCGAAATGTGGGTAGCGTGAGGCTTCGAGACAGCACGGGATGCGTATTTATAAACGCCGAAGTCTGGGCTGGGCTGAATGTACGAGCGGCAGCCCATCCAAGCTTGCAAAGCCCAAAAGCAGAGACAATAGAATAAAAAAATGGAGCATCCCTCCCGCACACGCGACGCGACCCAGGCACCAACGAGAGCGCCACCGGCGGCACCCACGCTCGGGCACGGGGGCGCACGACACGACGAGAAAAGGACGCCACCCGGCCACCTCCTCGGCTCCTCCCACTCGTGGTCTTCTCCTCGGCCCTCCCACACCCAAAAAGCTCCAGGGAAACCCCCCACGCGCGCGCCTGGTGCCGGATCGGATCGGGGATGTGGGAGTCGGTGGCGCTCACGCTGGCCGGCGCCGCCGGCAACAGCATCGGCAAGGTGCTCCAGAAGAAGGGCACCCTCATCCTCCCGCCCCTCTCCTTCAAGCTCAAGGCACCCCTCTCCCCTCCCTGCCCCCTTATCCATCCCTTCCGGTTGCCGGCGCTGCTGCTTACTGTTAGATGGATGACGCCGCCCTCTTCGGTCTTGTGCAGGTCATACGGGGCTACGCGCTCAACAGGCTCTGGATCAGCGGCTTCCTCCTCGACATGTGCGGCGCCGCCCTCATGCTCACCGCGCTCTCGCAGGCGCCGGTGCGTTGCCTGCTTCCCAACTCCCTTGTGTTTCTCTTCTCGCCCGATTAGTAGGATGCCGCATGATGACTGATGCGGCGTTTGTTTTTTCTCATCAGGTCTCTGTCGTGCAGCCGATTGCCGGCTGCGGCCTCGCCATACTCTGCGTCTTCTCCCATTTTTACCTCAAGGAGGTCATGAATGGCCTTGATTGGATTGCCATCACAATGGCCGGTCTCGGCACCATAGGTGAGCTACAGTACAGTCACAAGTTCGTCATCATAGTTTTACGTGCAATGGTCACAAGATGGAAATGGATTGGTTAATGGCATTAGGCTAGTATCCATGCACTGACTGGATTTACTCTGCGTTCTGTAACTTCAGGAGTCGGTGTAGGAGGGGAGGAGCAGAAAGTGGAAGAGATTCCCCTTTTCAGTATACCTTGGCTGGTGCTCACCGTTCTCATCTTGTTTGTAGGTACCATACTCTGTGTTGTATTAGTTTTATTACATCCACGTAAGTATGCATTCTACCAAAACAACTGTAGTTTCTCTTGCACAAACTATTTTGACCGTTCTTGCTATAATATTCCAACTCTCACCAACAATTTTAGGCGTGCACCACATGAGTATTACCCTTGTATTTCTATATAGAAAATTATGTTCTCTTAACTATTTCTGTGTTATGCCCCCACGAAACTGCTTGCTGGAGTTAGGGAAGTGTTTAGACTGCTCTTTTGTTGGATTAATTCATTCCCGTTTCATTAAAAAACACGTCAATTGGAAAGAACTAATCATATTGTAGGATATTATGGTGGATGATATTATTATAGTGCTGATGAATCCAGATTCTAGCCTGCTACTGATGGCAATTTTGTTTGGTTTATGCCAATTAAGGTTCTACTCAACACTTGGCTTCATATCTACAAAAAGCAAAGGCGCGAACAAGAGTTGGTGAGCAATTTTTTAATTTCGGATTCATGTTTCAATATTGCAAATATTGACACCTTGCATCAATCCAGACTGGACCTGAAGTGATCGAGGAGGTCATATACGGCTTAGAATCAGGCATTTTGTTTGGGTAATTTTTTTTATCTATTTCCATTTATCACTTTGTTTACAACCTTTTCTATTTTAAAAATTAATTTATGACTTAGACTCAGGCCTTATGTTGACCACTCTGGTCCCTGTTTCAATTGATTGAGAGGATATTTACTTGGGAGTATACATTTATCATGAAATAAACAAATGTTACTTCAACCTTTCTTTTCTTTTAGTATACAGTTATGCAGTGACCCAATATGGGAGGATGACTCATAATTATTAACTTATTTCATGTATAGGATTTCATCAGTGATCTCTAAGATGGGATTCGTGATGTCTGAAATGGGCTTTCCGAAGATTGTTGTGCCAGCTGCCATTTCTTGTAGTGTGGCCTGCAGTGCCGTGGGATTTGTTTACCAGGTATGTCTAGTTTACTGGAGATGCGACTCCCTACTTGTGTGCATCACAGAGATGTCCCTTCTTAATGCGCACTGCTGCCCTGATACTCTGGAGATGTACTTCTCTGCTTTTTATGTGTTCTGGCATTGATAGGGATGTATACAGTGCTTGTGTAGTGTTTGTAGAAAACCTAGAGATTTTACCTGCCATCGGTGCTGCACTTGTTAATGATTTACGCACTCGAACAGTGCACGGGAACTATTGAGACTATTGCACTTTGTTAATCTCAACTAATGCTATCGGTGTGCATGCATTTATTGTTTGGCTGTCATACAACCTATGTCAAATCCTTCTGTTTCAAGCAATCTTCAGCTGATTGCACTCCTTTCATAGAACATGCACATGTGGGCCATTGCGAAGACATTTAAAGCAGAATTGATTTGTGAACCTGGAAAGCATCAAATTGTTGGAATGGCATGAAGGATCGTTGCTTCTTGTTGGGCTCTGTCTTGAGCTGGAAGACGTCCTTGAACAAGTACAAGTGTGTCATCTTTTTCCATGTTTGCTACAACTGTTGCGTTACCAACGATTCCAAGTTTCTCTTGCTGTCCATTGTGCCATGGTGGCAGGTGAACAGTTTTTTGATGGTCATCAGAATGAGGCCCTGCATGGAGGCATTCTAGAGGTATCTCCATACTAAAGAAAAAAGGTTATTTAGTGTTGATCTACATTCAGGTGGCCACTCAGTCTGTTGGTTAGATACCTCTAGATCACCCCTTGCAAAGACTCATGCCAACAAGGTTTGGAGACTCCACTTGTTGAGTTTCCATTGCACAATGAAAGATATGGCCATCTTGGTATGGAAGATGAATGAGATGTCATACTATTACTTGTTCAAGGACATTTTCCTGCTCTTTAGAGAGACTCACCCCGAAGCAGCCATCTCTCACCTCACTTTAAATGACTCTTTGTTGGATTCACAGACCAAATCCTCTTACTCCCTCCGGATGGGAATATAAGTTTGGCATGGGAACTTAGGTAGTCAATTTAACTAGCGAAGCATGTACAATATGCCACAAAAAATATATGGCTAGAAACTTCATTGGACGATGAATCTAAAAATATTTTTTTATAACATACATCATATTTTGCGCTAATCAAATCGAAGACCTAAATATCCGTGCCTGACCTATATTCACATCCAGAGGGAGTGGAACAAATCTGTCAAAATGGCAAACAGGTGCACATATGCTGCACATATGCTGCACAATGACATTAACTACCGAGGTGCATTAGTTCATACTATTTATTCATAGTTTTTATGTAGTGTTTTTTGAGAACATGTACTTGCTAGTCAAACTCTTACACCAAGCTTATGACGCCACCATAACGTGAATATTAGGGTACACCATATGGGAGCAAAGTGGAGTGGAGTATTTTTTGTCTGAGTGAAGCAGGAACATGGGTGTGACTGACCTTGAATGGAGCCACATAGTGATGTCACATAATATTTGCTGATACTAAAATTGAGCTATAAATCTTGCTTATTGTAAATCATATCACACTGCTTCTTCCTTTTTGCTGCCGAGACCATTTTTTTAATCTAAAAAGGGAAACACATGTGCATGTTCTATGAAAGGAATGCAATCCTTTTTGCAATTATTTTTTACAAAATTTATACTGTACTAATTTATACTCCATTGACATTGATGATCTGCAAAATTTTAAAATTTTGTTATTTGCAAATTGTTTTCTCAGATTGCACTAGTATATTGGACCCGTCTGATGAAATATGTGTTTTTAACATTTGTCATAGTGACTTGTCTAGTTATCTTTCAATGCTTCTGCTCTGGTTTGTGGCTTTGCTTTGTATATTCCACTAATGGGACATGACGCCTGTGCAGACTCGAGGTCTCAAGCATGGGAGGGCAATTGTTGTGTCCACATGTACATCGGTGGCATCTATTGTGTCTGGTGTTGTGGCTGGTATGGTTGCACTTGACGAACATCTGCCGACAGCTCCCGCAGGACGTTTTTTTCTCTTGCTTGGATGGTAATGTCATTATACTACATTGTGTTTTTCTTTCTGTGTTGTGTGCTATTGCTGAAGACTGATCTGATTCCCTTTTCCCTGCTTCTGTAGTTAGCTACTCCCCCCGACCCATACTAATTGTCGCTGCTTTAGTACACAACTTTGTACTGAAGCTGTGACAAGTAATATGGATCGAAGGGAGTACATTGTTTTTTTTTTCTTTTCAATGCCTGCACCTTTAAGGCTATTGCATTGGCAGTGTATCCGATAACCGTGAGATCCTGGCTAAACTATGAATTTTTGTGATTGTGATCACGAGGGGAGGTTGCGTGGTGGGGTAGGGGGTGATGGTGGTGGAACACTTAACATACATTGTGGACGCAGTGATGATAGGCAATACTGGAGGTGGCAGAGAACCTCTTGTTCTGTATGGCAGTATCTCCTTGATAGATATAGCAGCAGTAGGACCACCCATGCCCAAATCTGGGGATGGTTGTGCATCCAAGGCCCAAGGGGCTCCACCGTCGCATTGAGCAGGAGCTGGGAAACAGTCACTGCCTTATCTATGCTGTGGGAAAGCCGGATGTGGGTAGATCTGGTGAGATGGAGACGAAAGGTTAGCCACCTACAACCACAGGCACCATCTTGTGGAATGTGCAGAGAGGGAGGCAGCGATGGATAATCCCATGCAGGTCTAAAGTGAGTGAGGTGGCATTGACGTTGGGGAGGAAGACAATGCTGGAGTAGAGGGAGGAAGACTTCCAGAGTAGTGAGTGTTTGGGGCGATTCGCAATTTTGCAGTTGTTGGGATGTCTGTGAAACTGTTTTGGTTGTGTGGGGATATCCCGCCCCAATGTGAGCCATCTCTTGTAATCATGCAGCTACAGACGCATTTTTTGAGATTTCCACCTGATATGCTCTGCTATTTGCCTCACTAAATTGCAAGTGGGGTGGGTGCTTCTCTTGGGACTATATATGGAATTCATGTAGCATGTGCTTGTTATGTATTCTTTGTTGGCAACTTTGATCATGAGAGAATATATCAAGTTCTTTCTCAGTCTATTAAGGTTACGGATATGCAAATTCAGCTTTGCTGAAATACCTAATGTATATTGGGTGCAATAGATTAGGACAATAACACCAGTAGTGTACCGTGTAAGGAGTCATATCGTCTATTGACAAATTGGATTGAACAAATGTGTTGTCTCTTTGTGCTCTCTGACCTCTGCTCCACTTTTTTGAATTGGCTGAGGGACACTAAAGAGTTGGTTCTCCTTTCAGGTTCTTCATTATTACGGGGGTGATACTTCTTGTTACTTCAACCCGAGTGATTGCGCGCCTACCTAAGCCTGTGCAGAAGTTTTTGAAGAGTAATATGGAGCGTTCACACAGCATCAGGAGGCCTGGGTCAGCCCGAGGGAAGGATCCCAACCAAAGCACAACAATCCATGCCTCGACATTACATATACTAACCTCTACAGGGAAAGAGAAGGCCTAGAGGTGCTACTGGAGCATGACTGTCTTAACACCTTTGATGGGTCCAATCACTAATGTGAATGTACAAGTCTAGAGTAGCATCTCAAAAGTTTGGGCTGGCTGCTCATATACTGACTGCCCTTATAGATCTAACAGAAACAGAAGTTCGTAAAATCTCCTGTGAATTTTGATCAAGTTACATACCTTCCTGTGGTCAGTTGTAAGTGGTATATTAGTTTGTTCTCTTCCCTTCCGAATCTTGCGTGCGTGTTTCTGCTTTACTTGCAGCACCATTATATTTTGCTTTTAAGAATGCGTGGGGAGGGCCATGTATGTCCTGTTTGGATGTTTGGGCTACTTGATACTACAACTCTTGTGATATACCGTCAATTACTTCGGTTCCGTTAGGCCCTTGCTGATGGTTTCTTTCACAGAAGCTTCCCCCAGTGCACTGCCACAGTTGTGGGAAATGTGGGCAAAATATTTGCTGTACCTACATGTGTAAGAATTGAAAATTTTGCAACTATACAAGTATTGAAGTATATATTGCTAATCCAGCTGCACATGACTTTCATACGTGGTATACACCTAACATTTCTGATGAACCCTATTTTTCTGTTTCTATTTTGTTAGAATTAAAGAATGAACAGGATGATCTCATACCTGTCTCCGTTTCCCATGCTGCCAAATGAAGTGTGGCCAAATGACCAAGTCAGAACGTATCAGAGGTTTGTAGTTATCTGTGCCCACAAGTTCCAAGTGTGTTAGGAATTTAGGATTAGCTATAGGAGATGCTTGTTCCACTAGCGGGGTAGCTATCCTGAAATTTCCCAACCCTACCGTGATTAAAAAAGAAAGGGTTTGCTTTCTGTGTGGTTTGGTGGTAGGCACAGTTTTGTCCAGCCATATTTGATTAGCTAGGTTAGGTCAACTAATGTACTACTACAGTATGCATAGTATTACGTAATAACGGAAAAGATTAAGAATTTCACATCAGTCGCCTTGGGTCAGGCAGCATCCGGGCAAGGGGGTCATCCAGTGCTAATAAGCTGGTAAAAGAGTTTGGACATCTTTATTGTACATCTTCAGTTAGGGTATAGGTTGACAATCTTCTTTGTGGGAATTGCATGTGTTTTTGCTAGGCAGAGTGATGTTTGTAGTTACTCCCTAGAAAGTGCTATCTAGTGAATGCATCACATGGTACATTCCTTATAGACAAATTAAGCGCCCCGTTTTGTCATTAATTGTCATGTCATGTAGTCAGCTTTGATCTGATCTCAATGTTTACCTACACAATTTCCTTTTTGAACTTTACATTTACAAATTCACAACTTTAACGATGCTAATAAACTCGGCTGAGCATTTCTAAATGGCCTCATCTTGCTGAAGAGTCAAAAGCACCCAAAATACATTTATTATTACAAGCCATGATGCTTTTTTTTTTGCGGGGAACAAGCCATGATGCTTCGTCGCTGGGAAAGCGGGAATGTACTCCAGCATAACCGTGGAGCCTCGCACGTACTATTATTGGGAGAATATTGTGCAAATTAGCCCATAATAAATATGCCGAGATAGCGAAAAATGGTATACGCTCACAGGCCACACGCAACCACCTATTCCAATCCATAAGGACCCAGACTGAAACGGCGTGCCGATGTCACAGTCGATCCACCGGCGCCTTGCGATTTTAATTAAGCATTACTATTAAAAAGTACGCGTGGCGAGTTGGGAGAAACATTATCTTTGGACACGCTTGCTGCCTAAGCCTGCTGCCGTGTAGTCGTACTCCGGTTTAATCACCAAGATAAACGACCCTACCAAGAGAAAGCAACTGGGCATGCTTGATTCAATCTTCCTTCTTTGACGTTGTTTTTTCTCTAGTGCTTCCTTGGATCCATATTACTTATCGCAGATTTGTGATGGTCGTACTAGGCGTTACCATCTCATCCAGTCCAATAAAAAGAAGAAGATAATGCTAAGCAAGAGGGTTACGGGCTTACGGCAGAGTACAGTAGGGTACCCCAAGCAATATTCAAAGCATCCACCAGGGGAAAGCGAAAGCGTCAAAGCGAGGGCTAAAATGCAAAAGGAAAGAAGGAGAAGAAGAAGATACGGGGAATGGGATAGAGTCGGGGTGGGGAGGCCAAACTGGTCCTTTTTTCTTTTTCCTCCTGCGCTCTGCTCTGCTTTGCTTGCTTGGTCTACTTCCCCAACTCCCCCCGAAAAAACAATCCCAAGCGGCACCCACACGGCCATGGCCGCCCACCCCTCCTCCCCTCCCTCCCCAAACCCTAGGTAGCAGCACCATCACCACCACCACCGCGGGAGCCTCCCCGCCTCGCAGGTCCCTGAGCCTCCAGCCCGGCGCCGATCTGAGCCCCCGCCGCTAGGTCTCTCGGGAGGGGAAAGCGCGTCTTTTTTTTAGCCTTTGTCTTTTCGGCTGTGCTCGGTGGGAACTCCCGAGCTTCGGCGGAGCATTTCTCGGGGAGGGCGGGGATGGAGCCGCGGGTTGGGAACAAGTTTCGGCTCGGCCGCAAGATCGGCAGCGGCTCCTTCGGGGAGATCTATCTCGGTGCGGGCCGGCCTCTCTGCTCTTTGCCCCGAATTTCGGATTCCATTTTTGGGGGATTTTCTAGTCCTCGATCGATTTTTGACGCGCTTCTGTTTGTTTGTCTGTCCCCTTTGCGTGCGTGCAGGGACAAATATCCAGACCAACGAGGAGGTGGCGATTAAGCTGGTACGTGCTCCTGCTGCTGCGATTCGACTGCTCGGATCTTTCTGATGCTCCCGAGTAGTACTGCTGCTGCGTTAGCCTGCTTTGGACGCCGTAGTGGTTGAGGAATGTGGACCAGCTCATGCTTGGTGCCGGTTATCGTCGGCCAGGTTGCGGGTTCCTGTAGGATAGCTCGTGACATGCCGCTCTTCTCAAAGCTTGAGCTCTGGATGGATGCTCTGCCCTCGTTGGCAGATTTAGTTCTCCATGGATGGATGAACAATTTGGACTAGTTGATTGGTCAATGTTCCTGGGAATTGACTGGCGTGGTTGACTTCGTTGGACTTGAGCTTTTTATGCGCTTTCGGTTAATCTATGCAGATTGACAACTAAGCTCGAGCTGCCGAGTATTGGATGATGTATATAGTAATAAAATATGAACGGCAGATACAGTAAACCAGGAGAGGAATGAGAAACAGTAACTTGTGAAACATATTGCTGCATACACCGTAGCCCGGAGTGACAGTCTAGATATAGAGACCCATTGCCCATAATTCTGCATCATAGTGGCTTGTTGCCTCTATAAACTACCACTAAATTTAGTATGCAGGTTATTTCGTCTTGATTGCCTGCATCAGATTTCTGAAGTTTGACATTTTATTACTTTCTTGTTCATGCAGGAAAATGTGAAGACAAAACATCCTCAGCTGCTCTACGAATCAAAGATTTACAGGATTTTGCAAGGAGGAAGTATGGAAGCTTTACATCGTGCATAATTTTGTAGGACTTCGATAGAACTAGTGGTTTGACAATCTTTGTTGTGGCAGCTGGAATCCCAAATGTCAGGTGGTTTGGTGTAGAAGGAGACTACAATGTCTTAGTCATGGATTTGCTGGGGCCAAGTCTGGAGGATCTATTTAATTTTTGCAGCAGAAAATTATCTCTCAAGACTGTACTTATGCTTGCCGATCAGATGGTACGTACACATACACTAATCATTTGATGCCATCCCTTCTTGTCGCCTTCATCAATCTATTTGTATATAGCAATCAGCAAGCAATTAACTCTGTACCTATCCTTGATTAATTTACATGGACCTCAGCTCCATTTGCTAGCCACTCTAACGCACATTTTCACTTTTCCTTCCATTGCTTTTTTTTGGTCATACATACATTATGATTTTGCTCCTCATTTTTGTCGTATGTGTACCGTCTTTTTCTTTGTTTATTCCTAGCTTATGAGCTGTATCTGATCTGCACTCTCCCACTTGTAGATAAATCGAGTGGAATTCGTCCATTCCAAGTCATTTCTGCATCGAGACATTAAGCCAGATAATTTTCTCATGGGTCTTGGTAGGCGGGCTAATCAGGTGGGTAGCAGTGCAGTGTTTAGTAATTAATTCAGGTCTGCTGTATTATTTCCTTGTGTTAATTCTTACCACTTTATTCGTGCTCTTATATTTTTCAGGTCTATGTTATAGATTTTGGTCTTGCCAAAAAGTACAGGGATACCTCAACTCATCAACACATCCCATACAGGTAGAGGCATAAACATACTAAGTTATCTAGAGAGTATGATAGCAGCTTAAGTTATTTCCATACATCATACAGAAATGACACTGCTAGATTATGTCGAATATGTTTTAGTAGTTCTTTTCTTGAAGATGTCATTTTAGTTGGAGCACCCTTCTTATGTCAGTTTTTCTTTCTGGTCTACTTTGGCTCCGCCCTGTGTTCTTACTTGATGGTAATATTGCAGAGAGAACAAAAACTTGACTGGGACAGCAAGATATGCAAGTGTGAACACTCATCTTGGCATTGGTGAGAAAATGATACTCTACCAGTTCATAATTGTTTCTTTTACATTGTAACTTCCACCTGTTGGACTTCATCCTGCTGTCAGTTGAGCGTCATAATCCTTGCCCTGCATATCTTCTTTTCTGACCATTTACTTCTATATTTTTGTTGTTGATCAGAACAAAGTCGAAGAGATGACTTGGAATCTCTTGGATATGTTCTTATGTACTTCCTACGGGGAAGGTCGGTTTATTTTCTGGATTCTTATTGTGTGCCACGTAAGATACATTAATGAATCAGATGTAACGTTGTTTTCTTTTCAGCCTTCCTTGGCAAGGTCTGAAAGCAGGAACGAAGAAGCAGAAGTATGAGAAAATCAGTGAGAAAAAAGTTGCAACATCAATTGAGGTACTTGGTAGTAATAATGTCTGTACTGGTTATTGGCACTCCGCCTTGTATATCATGTTGGTTATAATGTTCTCATTCTATTTCAGGCTCTGTGTCGTGGGTATC